TTTCAAAGACTTTAACGGAAATCTCAATAAAGATAATGAAGACTCGGACGCATCCAACTATATTCGGGATCAATCTATTTGCTTAAAATCAGATCAACCCAAAGGTTTGCATTCTTCACTTCGCGCTCTCTTTATTCATTAAAAATAAAATTTAACTTTTATTATACAGAATTCAAACCCAATATTTCGATGCCTGAAGTGTACGAAGAGCTCAAGTTTGATAACCCGGACGGAGGCGTTTGGAAACAAGGATGGGATCTTATTGTCAACGATAGCATGTTTTCTAGAAACGAAAAACTCAAAGTGTTTGTCGTAACTCATAGGTAGGGCTCATATGATTGCATCTAAACTAAATGAGAATTTAATGATTTGATTGAATGGATTGCAGTCACAATGACCCTGGTTGGATCAAAACATTTGACAGATACTTTAGGGAACAGACAAAAAACATTTTAGATAATATTGTCAACAAATTGAGTGACGACCCGAGTTTGAGGTTCATTTGGGCCGAAACTAGTTATCTGAGCGCGTGGTGGGAGACCGTCAAAGACCACAAAATGAAGGTCAAAATGAGACGTTTAGTAGAATCGGGTCGACTCGAGATTGTGACCGGCGGTTGGGTTATGAACGACGAGGCGAACGTTCACTACTCAGCGATGATTACACAATTAGTTGAGGGACACGAATGGCTTATGGATCACTTGGGAGTGAAGCCCAAATACGGCTGGGCTATCGACCCGTTCGGTCTCTCGCCTACAATGGCGTACGTTTTGAAGGGAATGGGATTCGAAGGAATGGTCATTCAAAGAGTGCATTACGCTATTAAAAAGCGTTTGGCGTCAAAACACGAATTGGAGTTTCGTTGGCGCCAGTATTGGGAGCACAAAGTGGACAACGATATAGTCTGTCATATCGAGCCCTTCTATTCATACGATGTCCCGCACACGTGTGGACCCGACCCTAAAGTTTGCTGTCAATTTGATTTCAAGCGTTTGCCGCCATCGAGAGTGAAGTGTCCGTGGAAAGCACCTCCGCATAAAATTACCGACTCTAATGTTCACGAAAGGTTGGTTTGTAAATGAAAACCAATAAAACGATTGATGCAAATATAGTTTTGTTTGATTTTAGATCTCAACTACTTTTGGATCAATACAGGAAGAAGTCTATTCTTTTTAAGACTAAATCTCTTTTAGTGCCTTTAGGTTAGTATTGTATCCACAAAATGATGTGTTAATCATTTGTATGAATAAATAGGCGATGATTTCCGTTTTGATAAATTAGAGGAATGGGACGCACAGACCAGCAATTATCAGAAACTTTTTGATTACATGAACTCAAAATCTGATTGGAATGTTGAGGTATTGATTACATAGCGTTGTTATAGTCCGGCCTAATAATGTCTAAACTTATTGATATGTGATATTTATAGATCAAATTCGCGACATTAGGCGAATATTTCAAATCATTCAAGTCTACGAATGTATTTCCCACCCTTTCCGGAGACTTCTTCACGTATTGTGATCGCGACGACCACTACTGGAGTGGTTTCTATACCTCTAAACCTTTCTTTAAACGCTTTGAACGCATATTGGAATCGCATTTGAGAAGTACTGAAATTATATACTCATTGGCGTCGATACTAAACCCACACACTTTGGACCGTTTGGATGCATTGATGCCACTGTTTGTGTACGCGCGGCAGAATTTAGCGCTTTTCCAACACCACGACGGTATCACTGGAACCGCTAAAGACATTGTTGTCAATGATTACGCCAATAGGTTTGTATTCGTACATGTTTTTAATGTTTAATATTCTAATAATATTCTAAATGTTGTAACAGAATGTATAAATCACTGGAGAATTTAGAAAAGATTAGTTCCCAGTCTATTATGAATTTATTGCACTACGAAAACAATGATTCAAATCAACTAAAATTAGTGGAAAAACTACCAAATTCTTTCTCAACGCCCACTAAGAGTGTGTTTACTATTGACGACAACAATCAGAACTGGTATTAAAATTAATTTCATAGAGTTTTCAATTATTTATCTAAATAATGGTTTCTAAATATTTAGGTATTTTGTAATTTATAATTCATTGGGATTCTCGTCCTATGAATTAGTTTGCATTCATTTGAAGACAAATGTCAACAATTGGTGTATTAAAGATAATGACGGCATTCAAGTGGAAGACATTCAGATTAATAGGGTTTGGTTTATGGATAAACTGTTGACCGATAAATTTGAAGCCTGTTTTGTGGTACATATGAAGCCTTTAAGTTTAGCCGAATATAGTGTCGGAGTTTGCGATGACAGGAAAGGCGTCCGAAAGAAAAGTTCGGTCACTTTATATAATTTTGACGAAACATTCGATAACATGACAGAGGGTTTGGTATCCATTGAGGAAACGCCCACTGAATTAGAGATAGAGAATGAAGAGATTGCACTTACATTCAGTGGTGCGGACGGAATGCTCCGCAAAATGTCGATTCGCGACATCACTATAAACCTGAGGATGAAATTTATGACTTATGGCACTAGAAGTGGCAAAAAAGTACAAAAGAGTGGCGCATATATATTCCTACCCGACAATGAAAACGCTCAGGACTTGGTTTACAGTAATTGTAAGATCAGAATCACTAACGGAAACATTTTGACCACTTTTGAGACAATTATCGATAAACCGATTCCTATTCGACACCAAATCTCAATAATTAAAGGCAAACGATATATAGAAATGGAAAACGAGTTCTTGTTATCAAAGGGTGTTTTTGGTAACAAAGAGCTTATGATTAGGTTTTACAGCGAAATTCAAAATAACGACATCTTCTACACAGATCTGAATGGCTTTCAAATGATTCAAAGGAAACGATTTGATAAAATACCACTTCAGGGCAATATATACCCCATGTCTACCACTGTTTACATTGAAGACATGAAACAGAGGTTAAGTGTACTATCGGGACAACCATTGGGTGCGACGAGTCCGCGCTCGGGTTGGGTCGACATCTTTCTGGACCGACGCCTCCTTCAAGACGACCAAAGAGGTCTCAATCAGGGAGTCGTCGACAATAGAAAGACGAAAGAGATATTCAAGATTTTGTTAGAAAGTGTGCCATCAGTGCCAACAGCGCCGACACAACCACTCAAACCTACACTCGAAGCACAAGTCGAGTTACAGAAGCTTTTGTCGCCACCGATACTAATGTTCAGCACAAAGAAGAGCACTATTAGTGAGATCTACTTTTTGCACAATCCATTGCCCTGTAATATACATCTGTTGAATCTGAGGCGTTCGTCCCGACCCAACACATACACACTATATCTGCACCGATGGGGTGTCCGCTGTGACGCCAAGTGCGCCAATAATTCTAGTGTCCAATTGACTCAACTCTTTTCGCCCATAATTACTAAATCATTGGATCCATTGATGAGTCGAATGAGTTTATCATCGCTTCACGAGAAGGAAACTGATCTCTCGGTTGACTCTAAACTAAATGTCGAAGAAATGGAGATAAATGTCTATCGATTGAGAACACGAGGCGTTTGAGTCGTTAAACTAGTCTTTAAAATGCCATTAAATCTAAAAATTAATCTAAAAATTCCTGTGATATAAGACTTAGTTTTTTATCAGTATTTTATTGATTTGTTTAAATATTTTCAAATTTTAACACAAATTGCATACATTTTACCATTAAAGTCAATGTATGGTACAAAACGGTACATAACTTGTATGTAATTAAATATTATTTCATTCAATTCTGTGTCAGTTATTTGGCTTATCTTTGTCTCCTTTCTTTGTTTTCCTATCACTCGACATATCTTTCAACTTATTGTTCAATTTTTTCTCCAAATAATTGCGTTTATGTAAATCCAATGGCTTTTTGGTGGGCACTCCTGAACCCGGATATAGTTTGCCGTCCTTTCGGGCGTTTGAGCGCAAAAATTCTCTAATTCTGTCGCCACAGCCGTGAACTTCAGGCATAGAATGAGGCAAACAATAACTTTGGCCACAAAACTGACACTTTTGTCCCAAAATAGTGACACTTGTCTTACATCGCGAATATTTGCACAATTTATCACTTTTCTTAACTTCGGCTATCAGTGAATCTATGTCTTCGTCTTCTATCGCATCGATTTTTGTCTTCAAGTTATGAGATTTATTGATCGGTTTTGATTTGGACTCACTTTTTGTTTTGGGTTTAACCGAAATTGTTTCTGTTTTATGCTTTTGTTGTCCATTACTGGTATTTGGACCACAATTTGCCTCATTTTCTACATTCTGTTTGCAAACATTGGTCTTATTCTCAACTGAAAGAGTGTTCTCTTGTAACCTCTTTCTTATGACAATATGCCTGTCCTGACCCTCGCCAACACTTTCATGGATCAAATCAAGAGATTCTGCAATTTTGTGAACCAAAAGCCTTTCAAATGATGTCAATTGAGAAGGAAATGCTAACACATCTGAGTTCTTGTTTGCAATAAATTCAACAATTTTAGTCTCAAATTGAGACTCTTTTTCAATAACTAACTCGTCTTCCATTGACTTCTTTTCCATTTTTATCTCTTCTTTACTAAAATTTTGTTTATTCTTCAGTTCTTGTTTGCAATAAATTCAACAATTTTAGTCTCAAATTGAGACTCTTTTTCAATAACTAACTCGTCTTCCATTGACTTCTTTTCCATTTTTATCTCTTCTTTACTAAAATTTTGTTTATTCTTCAAAACGACTTTTTCAGACTTTTTCGCGTTTTTACGAATCGTTTCTTTCGATTCTTTAGTTTTAAATCTTAAATTCAAAGGCCTTTCGGTTTGTGTCATATTTTGCATCTCATCTTTGAATTCTTGAGCGCAAACAATGTCTCCATTTTGATGGAAGTGATCGATTAGTGTCTTAATTGTCGAATCGTTAGATACGGTATCGGAATCACAGATGAGTGCTAAATGTCGTTTAGCTCGAGTGACGGCTACATTAATCCTTCGGCGCTCTGATAAAAATCCCACTTCTTTTGAATCGTTGGATCGAACAAAAGATAAGACAATAATCTCTTTCTCCCGGCCCTGAAAGCCATCGACTGATTTGATTTCCACTTTAGGGTAGTCTTTGAGTCGAGCCCTAATCAACTGGACCTGAAGATTATACGGACTGATTATGCCTATCGATGATTCACTAAACCCTTGTTTCAAAAGTTTTTGGACATATATCGAAACGATGTCCGCTTCGAATTCATTGCCCTTCGATTCCTCGTCCTCTAAGTCGAGTTCATTCATATCACAGCCCGCGGTGTCGATCAGCACAAGAGGAGCCGTATTTATATCACTAATAATATCATTGAGAGTATGATTTTTAATCGATTCGTAAGCCTTTAGTTTATTTGAATAAAATTGTTCCGAAGACCAGCTCATGATCTGTTCATTCATTCTGTACTGAATGTCAAGCATTTGTACGATTTGTTTGTCTTCAAAAAGTTTGATCAATCTTTCCATAAGTGAGACCTCGAGACCATCTTTTGCTGCCTTTTCTGATAAGATAGTGGGCGGCAATTGGCAGTGATCTCCGGCTAACACACATTTGCGGCCGCAGTTCAACACAATCCAAGCCGAGGCTTCTATGGATTGCGAGCACTCGTCGATCACAATCACATCGAAAGGATAATAGCCGTCAGAATCTACTAATAATCTTGAAATTAAAAAACTCGTTAATTAGTCATTCCATTAATAGTGTAATCAGTAGTCTTACTTCAAGTAACCGTCGGGAGAACCGGTGGTAAGTGTTGTCAAAACAACTTTCGATTGATTTAGTATTTGTTTCATCACTTTCCTCTCTCTTTCTTTCAATTCCTTTCTTAAACTTTTAATTTCACTAAAAGAAGTGTTCCGTTTGGCGACCATTTGCTGGATCTCTGCTCTCATATCGGAGACTATTGTGTAGTCGTCTGAGCGTCCGATCGCGGCGTCCAATGAGTAGGAGTGGAGATGTGATATGGATCGGCCGGGATGTCCGAGACGGACAATGTGTGCTCCCATTCCCTGTTCTGACAACTTCTCGACCATATTATCGACGCTAACATTGGACGGACCGGTGGCCAGAACTCGGAGACCGTAATTGTGGACGCATTGCATTATAAACTCGATTAAAACGGTTGTCTTTCCAGTTCCGGGCGGGCCGTGAATTATGGCCACTTCTTTCTGATCCAACGACAGCTCAATTGCCTTCTTCTGCGAGTCATTCAAATTGTGGTTAAAATATTTGATGTCATTCTTGTTTTGACAGCAATTCTCTGTGATCTGTGTTTCGCCGAACAGCACTTCAATCAAGTGATGACTTAAACTCTTTTTCTTCACATTATTTAACGCCGATTTGAGTCTTCGATGCGTTATATCATTGGATAACTTAATTAAGTTAAACCTATGATTGTCTTCATAACCATTGATAGGACTGATGTCGACATCAAAGGCCACATCAATTGCTTTGGTGTCCACTTTGAGTATAACTCCAGACACTAAAACCAAAGACTCGTTACCGGCGGTAACGCCGACGATATCACCGCTGGAAATGCTATTAGAGGCCAACTCTTGTGTCGACCATTTGGGACCAAATGTGATGATAGTTCGGCCGTAAAGACCGGTTCTCATGGACTGCTTGTATAACTTAATGAGACAAATGCCCCGATTCTGGAGCTCTGGAAGCGATAACTTTTGTTGGTATGACTTGTTTTGATTGATCTCTTCATTGTGTTCAATATCGATGAGCTTTAAATGTTTGTAAACAAATGTGTCAATCAATTGGTTGGACATCCTTTCCATCGGTTCCAGTCTTCACAACAGTCTTCACAACAGTCTTCACAACAGTCTTCACAACAGTCTTCACAACAGTCTTCACAACAGTCTTCACAACAGTCTTCACAACAGTCTTCACAACACAACTCAATTCACAACAAAAATCGTTTGCAAAACAAATCGTTGAAAACACTAGAAATGCATTTCATTGCATAATAGGGGGGATTCACACACACCGGGGGTTATGCCGGGGGTGTTATCTCATACATACATACATAGTTAGAGTTGCGATTTTTCGGCAATAAAAACATACATGGTCAAACAGGGACTATACATGGTCAAACAGGGACTATACATGGTCAAACAGGGACTATACATGGTCAAACAGGGACTATACATGGTCAAAATCGGGAAAATTCGGAAATTATGTTTTTAATGAATTCTTATGTGACTAGAAATTGGTTCAATTACTTATTTTACCAAAAGTTTTTATTTCAAATTTCAACAACAATTAATTAATTTATTAAATATTTATATATTGTATAAGTGCGGGACAAACATTTATAATTAATTTGTTAATTATACTGCATTTATGTACTAAACAACCATTAATTTCATTTTGATCAATTATAGATATTTATTTTTTAAAAAGTTTACAATAGTTTTATAATTCATCAATGATGAAGAGCATGTAAAATGAGCTTACTGTTATATTTAAAATATTATATTTAATTCTATTTAATTTTATAAAATTACAATTAAAATATTAAAAACACTAGACTGTAACACTACAGTACTGTCAAAAGTATTGTCAAAATGCATGTTGCAATATATGTAAATGCATTTACATATTGATTGACGGGTGCATTGAGAATAAGGTTTCTATAGGAATCAATTCTTTAGGTTTTGCCTCATTTGCCACAAACACCCATATATTCAATGAAAGTTAAGAGTTATGCGATTCAACACAAAGAGTTACTCAATCCATAGCATTCAACCTTCACATGGGATCAGATGTGACAATATATCTAAAATTACTGCTATATAATTGTAATACAATTTTGCAATTAACAAGAATTAATGACTCATTCATTAATAAACACATATCACAATAAATATGATACTTATCATCACATATAGTGTTAAATAAATTTAAAAAGTATTAAAAAACTGATGTAAAAACTAAGCAATTGTAGAGTTTTGGACTAAAGTGACGGAAAACTTGCATAAGAAAGGGAGAGAAAGAGAGAATGAATTGAAGTTTGTCTATAAGTTATGGCAAAGTATTGAAGTTGTGTCGGGTTTTGAAAGAAAAGTCAGTCAAAAGCTATACTTATATATAGGGATAAAAGTCTCAACACATCTGGTATTCACTCAACCATTCATTCAATAGTAATGTCAATACAGTTCTCATCGAAAAGTTGTCAATTTCTCGCATTTAAAGAAAGTTTAATAAAATAATGATTGAATTAAAGTTTGTTTAATTGAATGCCATGTTATGAACCATAACTACCAAACCTATGGGTAAAAAGTATTGCCAAACAAAAAGTGTACGAAATTTGTAATTCACTCAAAAAGCTTTTGTGTTGAAATTTCTATTATTATTAGTACAAGTGATGCGCAACTGTTGTTGACTCCGCGCGTAGTGTTTGAATGCAATGTTTCTACAAAAACGAAAAACGCGTTCAAAATAATAGATGTTTTGAATTGTTATGATTAGTGAAGAAAACAATAATAAAATAAGATTTAGTTTTTGAACGAATCGATGAATATATGAGTGAA